CCCCCCAAAAAAAAAAAAAAAAAAAGAACACATGAAATGGGTTTCCTAAACTTTGAGTCACATCATTCAATAAGAATGTGCCACCTCACAATCTTCTTGATTTCAAGATAAAGAACCAAACAACAAAATAGAAAACATTTATAGGAAATATATTTCCCATAGTAGTTTTCTTTGATTTTTTTTGCTTAATCAAACAGCCCTTTAATAGAAATTCTACACATAGTGGTGAGAAAAGGAGCAAAGTAGATAATTAAAAAGAAAACCTCTAAACAGATTAGATAAACACCCAAATCCCATTTTCAAAGTTAGATGAACTGATTGCTGATTTTTTCATCTCCTTTAGCAAGAGAACTGTTAAATGAGTGTACACCATTTTGAAAGTCTGGGGAAACAGATTTGCAACTGAAACATACTTAATTACTTAACTAATAAGCCAAATTTTTAGTTTTTCCTGCATTCTAGTGATCTAATGGTCAACCTCAAAGTAGATTGTTGAACATTTAATTAATGTCTTTTAGATTCATGAAGGGACTGTATGCATTTTCTAAGATAATTAGTTGGTTTCCAGTATTATATAGTGGTTGTATCATGTTGCCTTTTAATCATTGTTGACTATGAATGTCACTAGAATCGATAATCCTGCTTTAAACTGTAAGGCCTTCCAATTATATAACTCATAGAATTGTGTGGTAGTGATATTGCTGCATCAAAATCAGACAGCAATATCTGTTATCTTTATGCATGACTACTAGCTTCCTATTTATCCGAATTGGTAATTTGCGATGCTTTTATGAAATTATTACCAGTACTTCTCTCTGAAAAGACTGTTTTTTGCTCTAGACTACATCAAGATAAAAGCTTACATTCCATCAATCGCTGAAGAAATCGGCATGGAATTCAACATCATGGATGTTCCTCTTGAGAGTGCATCTCCAGAAGATCTGAATCTTATCAACATCTCCATTGATGATGGTGAACATGAAGAGCATGGTGAAAATTGGACATCAAAACTGGGAGTTAGCTTACGACATTGCATGAAGTTCAGAAAGCAATCAACATCAAAGCAAGAGCAGCTAACATTAGCTTTGGACAGAATATTTTCTGATCCCTTCTCTCTTTCAGATTTTTCAACTCTCAAGTGGCACTCTAGAAGATCGCGTACTCCACACAAGGTAGTTGGTGTGACCATTGGAAAATCATATATTGACAAAAACCTGGAGAAAAGAAATGACACCGCTAGCAAGCATCATGGCTGCACTGACATCCAAAAAGATATTGGCAGTCATAATAGAAGTTTAGTTGTTAGCGCCAAGGATGATCATAGTACAGTTGCGCATGTGCCCTATCTGACTGAGAATTTTGAAGATGATCATACTGAAGACTTGTTTACTGTTCCTATATCTGCTGCTGAAAATCTTCAACATCAAGTTAGCTGGTTTCCTCTGGAAGTTAGTAGAGCTGACGACATTACAGATTCAGAGAGCTACGAAATATGTCATCCTTGTACAGAGTATGGGAGATTAGATGTACATCAAGAGACAAACTCTTTAGTGGAATTTCTCATTCATAAAGGTCATGATTCTGAAAACCCTGAGTCTCAGCCAAATCTTCTTCAATCAGACGCCATGGATTCAGAAGTTCAGCAAGAGATCGAATCCTTTGATGAGTTTGATTCTAATCACGAGGCTTACAGCAATGTAGATTCAGGTAGCTTGCATACTTCTCAGAGAGATGTTGCCTATACAACTCATCTCCGAGATGATGCTGAATTAGAAGTGTTATCACGTGATAATGCTGATTTAGATGCATCAATTTCAGATGAATCTAACATGGAAACGAATGTTTTTCATTCTTCAAAGTCAGAGCAGCTTATCAGGAATCGATCTACAGTAGAAAGTTTGGGCATGCAGGATAAGGAGTTTCAAAAAGTTCAACTTTCTGTCGAAGAGGTGTCTAATATAGGGTGCAGTGTTGATAATTCTTCTGTATCAGCTGAGCAGACTGTCAATAATCTGTCTACTATGGACGCGTTCACCATGCAGGGAAAGGAGACTCCACAATTAGATGTGCCTATAACAGAGGAGCCTAAGTTAGAAAGCTGTGTTGATTCTTTGATATCAGGAAAGCAGTTTGTCAATGATTTGTTTACAGTAGAGGAAAATAGGGAGAAAGTAAGTGATGGTCATTCCAATAGATTGGAAGGGTTGCTTGTTAGTAATCCCTCTCTTCTAGATACTGCTGCAATGCAGCAAAAGGTGATTTCATCTGCAGTAAACAATTTGCAGAGAGAGGTCGGTGATGTTCAAATCCGGCAAGTTAGTGATGCTTCTAGGGCTCTATGTTCTGAACTGCAGCAAGAAATTTCTGCAGATGGAAGTAAAACAAACAATATAGCAGTGGATAATAGCTCAGTGAATTCATCAAATCTCATTGGTGTTTCTGTGGCTAGAAGTTCTGAAGTCCAGGAATCTGTTAAGAATAAAGAGCATGCTGTTGAAGGCTGTAATAAAAAACTTACTGCAAATGTTATACACTATGTGAGACGAAGAACCAAAAGAAAGAAAGAAGATCAAAAAGAAGAAAGTCCTCCCAAGCGTAATAAAACCTTGACCTGCACTTACACAGAAGAAAAGTCTCTTGCAGAAGGCAAACAGAGTTCTAATGGCAACTTTATTCGTAGCCCCTGTGAGGGCTTACGGTCAAGAATGAGACAAGCAAGTACGACACCAGTAAAGATGGACATTCTAACAGTGGAGCATAATGGGGAAACATCTAAAATAAAAAGAGGACTAAACAAAGCCAAGCTCGAGGAGTCCTACAAGTGTGATATTGAGAGTTGCTTCTCGAAATTTCATAGGAAGTCAGATTTGAGACTTCACATGCAAAACCGATGTATATACAGAGAGTGTAGAAAACTGTTCAAGTCCCACAAGGATTTGATGAAGCACCAGAGAGTCCATAATGAGGATAGACCCCTGAAATGTCCATGGAAAGATTGCAAAATGTCATTCAAGTGGGAGTGGGCAAGAACAGAGCACCTCAGGATTCACACAGGAGAGAGGCCTTATCGGTGCACAGAATGTGAGTTGACGTTTAGATATGTGTCTGCTTTTAGCAGGCACAGAAGAAAGACTGGTCATTATGCAAAAAACAACTAACCCTTGGTTTTGTTTTTTCGTGCCCCTAACTCTTTGTAATTTTCAGTGTTTTTTTGACGCTGTCTTAGCTAGGTTGGGAGAAAAAAGGGTTGATTGAATTTAAATTTGAGGATCTTGGTTTCTGTTGAAATGCTGAAGATGGAAAGATAAGGTGTACATGTAGATTTCAGAGATAAGTTTGACTCGTTTGTGTAGATTTGTACACTTGACTTGTGCATGCCTGAACGCTTAAATTATTTCGTTTTTTGAAGGAAAAGAAGAAAATTGTCTACCTAATGAGGTTGTGCTTGTAACCTTGGGAATCTTTTTCTATCTTATCAAGCTCTTCTTTTGATCTGGGTGTTAACAGTGAGTTTTTATGCTAGCATGTTCTGATTGGAACATAGTGGAAGTTTTAGACAGTAAGCATTATAGGCTTCGAAATATTTGTATCCAGAAAATATTTATATCTGTCGGATATGGTTACTAAAATATATAACCGATAGAACATAGAACATGATTATGTATATGGTTATGCAGTAAAATATTCGGATATGTATCCAAGATATTTGGATCCGTATCTGACATATAAGCTTTGATCCTTAGATTAATGAATTTAAGGTTAATTTTGATGATCAAGATGTCTAATCTTAGGATTTTAGATATAATGAATATATTAATGAACGCTCTTGTATCACATGAACTATTTTAATATTACCTAGTTTTCTCATATCTATTTTGTATTTGCATATATACATCTGTTTATTTATCGGCGCACACATTATATACGTATCCGATTTTAGCAGATAATGAATGTGAATTTAATGATTACGGCTAAATACCCATATTGGTATTTTAATTCCATCCCAATTTCTAACAAGGTATTTTAAATAGGCAAACCCGCTTTAAGACATTTTAATTGATCCAACTAACCAATAAGGCATGGTTTCTCGTCGGCGGGTAAATTTCCGACGAGATCTCGTCACGTGCATGGCACGTGATGTCTCAAAACTCATTTTTACCAGCGGCGACGGCAACAATCTCGTCATATTCATCCCAAAGTAGGATAAATAACGGTTATGACGCCGCCTGAGATCGCTAACCCCATGGAATCGGCTAAATATGACGAGATTGTTGCCGTCGCCACTGCTAAAAACGAGTTTTGAGACATCATGTGTCATGCACGTGATGAGATCTCGCCGAAAATTTGCCCGCCGACGAGAAACCATGCCTTATTGGTTAGTTGGATCAATTAAAATGTCTTAAAGCGGGTTTGCCTATTTAAAATACCTTGTTGAAAATTGGGGTGGAATTAAAATACCAATATGGGTATTTAGCCTAATGATTACAATAAGATTGGACTAAACAATAGCTCAGCGAAGACCGTGCATTTCCTTGATGAACCACTCGAGTGTTTAGAGTCATGGTTCATCTAAAAGATAGATTAAAATAACAATTAGATAGAGACAATCAAGACTTCGTCAACTAACATTTAACCTTATGATTAAAGCATCACCTCCATTAAAAATAAAATTCTATGTAATGAGTTGCTTAGAATCTTCAGGAGGTAAAGATCACCATGATGCTCAACATAAGCAATCATCTAATTGACCCGGTTAATCCGCAATTAGCGCATATTCTATGTTATTCTCCAAGTTGACCATATATGTATACATAACTTTTCTAAACAAACAATAACACCTAGCTAGGATTTGATTAGCGACATATAATCTTAACGTATGTCAAACCTTGAGCAACGCTTACAGGATTCCTGAATTTTCTGTGTGTTTATGACTTAGTTGTCATCAACTTGGACTTTGGCTAACTTGTAAACATAATTAATTCATTATTATACAATATTGCCCACAGAGAGATTACTTTGTTTATTCCAAGAGTTGAAATAAGCACAACTTGATTGACGAACAATCTTACTGTCTTTTATACTACATATCATCGCAATGCTGAGGATTCTGGTACTATGGCTACTAATTCCATTCAATTTCAACTTGTTCTACTCTTTCTATGCATTCATCCATGGAGCCAGCTCCTATCCAATGCAGCCTGCACCCGAAAAGACCGAAAAGCCCTTCTCGGTTTCAAGGCAGAAATCGATGACCTCGCTGGTATCTTATCCTCCTGGACAGGCTCAGACTGCTGCAAATGGCTCGGTGTTGGCTGTGACAAAAAAACTGGCCATGTCACGAGATTAAATCTTCGAAGACCTGATCCTCTCGGAAAAACTCTCCAGGGTAATCTTAGCTCATCTCTGCTCGGTCTCAGACATTTGAGATACTTAGACCTCAGCCTCAATAGCTTTGGTGGAATTTCGATCCCCAGCTTCATCGGAGAATTCAAAGAATTGAGGTACCTAAACTTATCTAAATCTGGATTTGTTGGTAGAGTTCCTGATGAGCTTGGCAATCTCTCTAGACTTCAGTATCTTGATCTCCAATCTCAATCTTTTCCTGTCGGTTTGTATATGATTGATGCTTTATGGATTTCTCGCCTTACTTCTCTTTGGTATATTGACATGAGTGGCGTGAATTTGAGTAACTGTTTTAACTTGCTTCAAGCTCTCAACATGTTGCCTACTGTAGAAACAATTCATCTCTCTCTTTCTCAGATGAACACAATACCGCAATCTCTTCCCCATACAAACTTTAGGTATCTTTCATTTCTTGATCTCTCTCTTAATGATTTTGACTCGACAGAGATACCCGGGTTCTTGTTCAGTATTAGGAGCCTGAAACATCTCGATCTCAGAGATAGTGGATTCAGGGGGATTGTTTCAGATGCTATTAGCAATCTCAGCTCTCTTGAGTTTCTTGATCTCTCTGGGATTTCAATGGCTAAAATACCAAGATCTTTGGGTAGTCTCTGCAACTTGACAATACTAAATCTCGAGAATGCACTACCGAGCAATGGCTTAAGCGAGCTTGGCCAAGTTCTCGATGGATGTGCAAAGGACAGTCTTCAAGAGCTGCGTTTAGCAATGAATGGCTTCTCTGATCATATACCTGATTGGATTGGAGACTTCAAGAATCTGAGAATTCTCGATCTCTACCAAAATAACTTCTACGGTTCAATTCCTGAAGCTATTGGGAGACTCTCATCTTTAGAAATATTGGGTCTATCAAGAAACCAATTGAACGAGACTGTCTCTGAAAATATAGGACAGCTCTCAAGGTTAATCACTTTAGATCTTACCTTCAACACTCTCAATACTACTTTGACAGAGGCACATTTTGCCAATCTCAAGAGCTTGAAACACTTGGACCTGTACAATAGCTCCCTGAGATTAAACCTGAGCTCTGACTGGTTTCCGCCATTTCAAGTCGAATATTTCTACACGCGAGGTTGTCAATTTGGGCCGAAATTCCCTTCATGGCTGAGAAATCAACGGAAAATTCAATATCTCGACATGTCAGGCTCAGGAATTACAGATGCCATGCCTGATTGGTTTTGGAACATAACATCACATATGACAGAATTGTATATGTCAGATAATCAAATAAGTGGTAAAATGCCCAAATCATTTAGTTTTGCAGATAATGAGCCTGTGCATATCGATTTGAGTTATAACCGCTTGGAGGGTGCATTGCCACAACTTCCTCCAAATGTTGAAGGATTGTATCTTTCTACGAACTCACTTTCAGGGCCGATACCTCCTACTTTTGGCAACGAAATATCTAATTTGACGTATTTTTCTATCTCTAGCAACAATTTCTATGGGTCAATTCCGTCGTCCTTGTGCAAATTACAGAAATTGAAAGCTCTGGATCTGTCAAAGAATCAATTTTCAGGAGAAATACTAGACTGCTGGGATAAATTTCCTGATATGGAATATCTGGACCTGGCAAGTAATTCCTTATCCGGAAATTTTCCTAAGTCCATTTCGCTATTGGGTTCTCTTAAGTTGTTGGATTTGAGTAATAACAGTCTCTTTGGCCCGCTTCCTGATTCAGTAGAGTGTGTATCAGTGAACACTCTTGACCTTAGTCAGAATAATTTTACCGGGAAAATCCCATCTTGGATAAGTGAAAGCTTACCAATGCTCAGAATTTTAAGCTTGCGATCAAATTCTTTCATCGGTGATATCCCTTCAAACATATCAAACCTTCAAAACCTTCATATCTTGGATCTGTCAAGTAATAATTTTTCTGGCAGCATATCGAAGAACTTTGGGAACTTATCGAGCATGAAGGTGGCTCCTGCTGAGCAGAGTTATGCATACTTCGACGATTTTTCATGGGATGGATTAATCATGAAAATGTGGGTGATGACAAAGGGAAGATATCTCGAATATGGAAAACTGCTCTCACTCTTAGCTGTCATGGACTTTTCTGAAAACAACTTATTGGGTCAAATTCCTGAAGAGATAACAGACCTTCATGGATTACAAAGCCTGAATCTTTCTGGAAACCATTTCACTGGTAATATCACGGATAAGTTTGGAGATCTGAGGTTGCTCGAAACACTCGATTTATCGAAGAACGAGCTAGAGGGTAAAGTTCCTGCGAGCCTATCGGGTTTAAATTTTCTGAGCCATTTGAACCTGTCATATAATCACTTACAAGGGAGAATTCCTTCAGGTGGGCAAATGAATACGTTTGATGATTCTGTTTATGCTGGAAATGATGGGCTCTGTGGGCTTCCTTTGAAAGTGAAGTGTGATGCTGATAATGGATCAAAAGTTCCTCCTACTGAGGTTGGTGATAATGGAGATGGGCATATAAATGGGATGCTTTGGTATTTTCTTGGTGGTGCTCCTGGTCTTGTGATTGGATTTTGGACAGTTTGGGGTGCATTGCTACTGAATTCTAGATGGCGGCATGCTTATTTCACTTATGTGGATAAATTATGTGAAAAGTTTGGTATTAGAAGCAAATATAGATTTTAATTGAAAGGGAAGCTGTTAAGTTCATAAAAGGATGTACGTGTTTGTAAATCTATGTTCTATTGTACATATTTGTGTGAAAAAATTGTTGTATGTAAAGCCTTCTTATATTTCAGGTAAAGCTTTTGAAGTTGTGGGTATAATTTATGGAACTCTGTTATGTGAACATAGCATGTGAGTTAAGTAAATACAATGGCATCCTTTCATCAGTAGTTCTTCTTAAGTTATTCACAAAAAAATAATTTTTCTTCCCAGTTTAATGAACTACTATAGTCAATTCTAAACTTTGTTCATCTGCCATTATCCAGTGATTGGTATCATTGGATATTTTTGTTCGAATCCAGCCAATGAGAAAGTAACTAGTGGTCTCTGTGGTACACTCAGCCTGATCACTCAAGAGTAATGCAAATTACAAATTATATAATATTTATAGACTACAAGACACTGAAATACAAGAATATTAGATGCTTTATGATACCGTTCACGTTTAAGAACTCTGCATTCGATGTATTATAGAACAAGAATTCATAGTTTGGTTAGCATTATTTTCGATAATCGTAGCCTCAATAATTGAAAAATAGAAGACATTAATAGAAGACATTACCATAAGTCCAAATTGTATACAGTTTATTTTCATATTGATTTGTAGGAAATTGAATGAAAAGAAGATCATGAAAACCGCAAATAAATGTTTCTAGTAATAGAATATGGTGACGCGACAATAAAATTTCACTGTTTTTTTCTACTCTAATTTCCAGTAGAACAAATAGGGGAAAAAAATTAGGACTTATAATAAAAACTAGATGTAAGACCATATTTATCATGGTCTTTTCTTATAACAATACAAATAACTTATAAATACACTTACTCAAAAATTTAAGCGCAAGTGTATTTCATCAACCTTACACTTTAATTCCTCTTATTTTAAAATCGTGCACTTAAATGCCTCAAAGTATTTAAATGTACAGAAAAATATTTCAAAGTTTCCAATTGTTGCACGTTAATGCTCTCTTGTTCACCTAATGTTGCATATGAAAACCATCGGTTTGTAATTGACCTTTCTTAAATACCCTAAGGGCTTGTTTGAATTGAGGGGAATGAAGGTGAAGGGAAGTTAGGGGAACCATTCACCTCCATTCACCGTTTGGGAACACTTAGGAGGTGAAGTTAATTCACCCTAGTTCCCCTTGGTTCACCCCCTAATAGTATAAAATTTGTTACCCCTCAAATTGGGGTGTAACCAAGGGGAAGGGAACTCTCTTCCCTTCCCTTCCCTTCCCTTCTCTCAGTTTCCCTTAACTTCCCTTCACCCCCTACAAATCCAAACAGGCCCTAAAGTTTCTAAAAGTTTTACTTTGTATCTTCTATTACCTAATATTCTTAGATGCATAAAGAAAAATTAGCATAAATTAACATTGTCTGCATGATTTTAAAAGAAAAATTCCTTAAGGACCCAAAATATGGGACCAATAGAGGGGACAAGTGAGGTGTTCCCTTCCTATTGGATAATGAGTTGGCCATCATTAAAATATAGGACCAATAGAGGGGACAAGTGAGGTGTCCCCTTCCTATTGGATAATGAGTTGGCCATCATTAGGTGTCCCCTTCCTATTGGATAATGAGTTGGCCATCATTAATGATGGGCAACTCATTATCCAATAAGAAGGGGGACACCTCACTTGTCTCCTCTATTGGTCCCATATTTTGAGTCCCCGTAGCAAAGCTCATTTTAAAAATAGGAGAACTAAAGTGCAAGGTCAGCCGCTTTTAGCACTTTCCTCACTCCCTCTCTTCGTCGCTCCAAACCCTAGCAGCTCAGCCGCCCATTTCCAAAAAAACCCTAACCCTAATCTCAGATAATGCCGCTCTCGCTCCCAAGCTCCGCCAGCGTCCACGCCCGCATCGGCAGGGCACCGCCGCGACGTCCCCAACATCCACCGCCTCATCCTCCAGATGCGAGTTCGAGCCTCCTCACCACCTCTTCTCCGCCACTGAGCCCGACCTCCTCTCGACCCTCTTCCCCTCCTCAAACCCTAAACCCTTAACCTCCTTCACCGTCCTCGTCCTCGACGTCTCCCTCTCCCCCTTCCCCAACCCTAACCCCAACCCTGGCTCCTTCACCCCCATCCTCCACCAAATCCACCTCCAGACCCCCGTCGAAGACCCCCAATCGGACGCCTTCGTATCCTCGATTGGCGACGGATCGGTTGTTGGTGGGTTTGTGCTTTGCTTTCCGAATTACTCGTCGTTTCTTGCGAAGCCGGGGATTTATATTGAGGATATTTTTGTGAGGGAGCCGTGGAGGAGGAGGGGGCTGGGGAGGATGATGCTGGGGGGGGGGGGGGGGGGGGGGG